GCCACCACCACCATGGTAACCATTTAGATTACATTCTTTTGCGCTATACATTTCCACTTGATGAGCCACTTCGTTGAGCTATCATTTGTGGCGAATCGCTCAGTGGGCATTGGTTGGTAAAATAAAATAAAAATACTATAACGTTTTCGTTGCATTTGTATTTTTGTAATGATTTGTTTAGGTTTCCTATACTTTGTATTCCTATCGTGTTTTTTTAAAATTCAGAATCAAAATATTTATTTATACTGGGGGAATCTGATGAGCTATAAAGCGCTTTTTCATAGATGTCCAGTAAGGAGGCACGGGGTCAGAACGTTACAACAAACAATACAAAGTATAAGGAAGGTAAACACATCACCCAAACACAAATACAACACTAAACTACCCCCATCCTACCAGACACATCACTCAAACACAAACACATACAACACTAAACTACCCCCATCCTACCAGACACATCACTCAAACACAAACAAATACAATACTAAACTACCCCCATCCTACCAGACACATCACACAAACACAAATACAACACTAAACTACCCCCATCCTACCAGACACATCACCCAAACACAAACAAATACAACACTAAACTACCCCCATCCTACCAGACACATCACTCAAACACAAACACATACAACACTAAACTACCCCCATCCTACCAGACATCACTCAAACACAAATACAACACTAAACTACCCCCATCCTACCAGACACATCACCCAAACACAAACAAATACAACACTAAACTACCCCCATCCTACCAGACACATCACTCAAACACAAACACATACAACACTAAACTACCCCCATCCTACCAGACATCACTCAAACACAAACACATACAACACTAAACTACCCCCATCCTACCAGACACATCACTCAAACACAAACACAACACTAAACTACCCCCATCCTACCAGACATCACTCAAACACAAACACATACAACACTAAACTACCCCCATCCTACCAGACACATCACTCAAACACAAACAAATACAATACTAAACTACCCCCATCCTACCAGACACATCACACAAACACAAATACAACACTAAACTACCCCCATCCTACCAGACACATCACCCAAACACAAACAAATACAACACTAAACTACCCCCATCCTACCAGACACATCACTCAAACACAAACACATACAACACTAAACTACCCCCATCCTACCAGACATCACTCAAACACAAATACAACACTAAACTACCCCCATCCTACCAGACACATCACCCAAACACAAACAAATACAACACTAAACTACCCCCATCCTACCAGACACATCACTCAAACACAAACACATACAACACTAAACTACCCCCATCCTACCAGACATCACTCAAACACAAACACATACAACACTAAACTACCCCCATCCTACCAGACACATCACTCAAACACAAACACAACACTAAACTACCCCCATCCTACCAGACATCACTCAAACACAAACACATACAACACTAAACTACCCCCATCCTACCTGACACATCACTCAAACACAAACACATACAACACTAAACTTTCCCCGTACTACCTGACACATCACTCAAACACAAACAAATACAACACTAAACTATCCCCGTACTACCTGACACATCACTCAAACACAAATACAACACTAAACTATCCCCATCATACCAGACACATCATCCAAGCACAAACAAATACAACACTAAACTACCCCCATCCTACCTGACACATCACCCAAACACAAACACAACACTAAACTATCCCCGTACTACCTGACACATCACTCAAACACAAACACATACAACACTAAACTATCCCCATCCTACCTGACACATCACCCAAACACAAATACAACACTAAACTACCCCCATCCTACCAGACACATCACTCAAACACAAACACATACAACACTAAACTATCCCCGTACTACCTGACACATCACTCAAACACAAACAAATACAACACTAAACTATCCCCATGCTACCTGACACATCACCCAAACACAAATGCAACACTAAACTATCCACATCCTACCAGACAAACGCCCACTGAGGCGTTAACTTATTTTTCACAAGCGACCTGACGATCACAAATGACAGCTCAACAAAGTGGCACCATCATTTGGATATTTGTAGCAGCAAAGTAATCGAAATAATCTCAGTGCACGTTTCTCAATGTGGAGGGGAAACCGGAGGGAAACAAATCCAGGCGACCACGGGGAGAGAGAGAGAGACGCAGACTCCAAATATCCAGCAGCGGCAGCAGGCGTCAGGGTCGGGATCGAACCCCCGACCTCCTGCACACCAGGCGAGGTAGATAACATCTCACCACCTTGATGCTGAGAGAGACGCAGACTCCAAATATCCAGCAGCAGCAGCAGCAGGCGTCAGGGTCGGGATCGAACCCCCGACCTCCTGCACACCAGGCGAGGTAGTTAACATCTCACCACCTTGATGATGAGAGAGACGCAGACTCCAAATATACAGCAGCAGGCGTCAGGGTCGGGATCGAACCCCCAACCTCCTGCACACCAGGCGAGGTAGTTAACGTCTCACCACCTTAAATTTTGATTTAAAGCTTTCGTGACTGCAGTGATTCACATTCTTGGTTCTTTCGGTAAAGTCACGTTGAAGGGAAAACAATCAAATAATAAAATATGGTTCATCAAGGACTAAACACTGAGGTACCCCCCCTGGTGAGACACTGCTGAACCAATACATACTTCACTTGGAATGGAACTTTCTACAAACAAACTGAGGGCACCCCAATGGGCTCCCCCCTATCTCCGGTTATAGCCAACATTTTCATGGAGAAATTTGAGACTGACGCCATCCAGACTGCCACTCTGCGCCCAACCTTATGGAAGAGGTACGTGGATCTGGCCACATGGCCGGCCTGCTCTAGACCAATTCTTCGACCACCTCAATTCTATACACCCAGCCATCAGATTTACCATGGAAGTCGAAATAGATGGCAAGCTACCTTTTTTTGGATGTCCTAATAAAAAAAAGACCTGATGGTTCAATGAGCCACTATGTCTACAGGAAAGCTACCCATACGGATGCTTACCTGAAACCGAATTCCCACCACCATCCATCACGGAATAATTCTCTCATCAAGACTCTGCACCATAGAGCCCAATGCATATACGACCAGGAACACATAGCCAGTGAACTCAAGCATGTACACCAAGCTCTTAAGGCTAATGGTTACTCCGACTATACAATCCGCAAAGCTATCACTCAAACCATGAAGAAGGACCCTCTTGAGGAGCCTTTAAAAACCATCACTTTACCCTACATTGCGGGGATCACACAAAAGATCTCCAAAATCTTGAATAAACACAAGATCCAGGTCCGTTTCAACACATTACATAAAATCCGTGATCTGGTTCCGTCTGTAAAAGATGTGATTCCGGACATACAGTACCCTGGCGTCTACAAACTAAGTTGCCTCTGTGGTAGTAGTTACATTGGAGAAACCAAACGACATGTCTCGGACCGCATTCGTGAACACAAAGCAGACCTTAAACACGGTAGGACCAACACCTCGGCCGTGGCAGATCACTGTTATAATTCAGTAGGCTCACATGACATTGACTTGTCCAAGACAGAGGTTCTTTGCAAACCAACCGGCTACCATGAGAGATTCGTTCACGAGGCTATCCACATATACAAACACAGAGACAATTTCAACCGAGAAGATGGATTCTGGCTTAGCAATCATTGGAAGGATTTGATAAACCATTTCGGGTCTTAATTGATTGTTCACGCTTATGGTGGCTTTCAGACCGCATCCATTATTTTCGTCTCCCCCCTCCTCTTTTCCGAACATAGATGGACTCGTCCTTTTAAACAAACTGTCAAATCGCTCTCCGTGGTGCTAACGTTTAAAAATAAATAAATACAAACCACCACTTCTTTCAAATGTTCTTGCCGTTGGTTTTCACACCTGATGATGACTGCTTGTGTTGCAGTCGAAACGTCGTGAGAATTTTATTGTTTTATATTTACTTTATTGTTTTCCCTTCAACTTGACTTTACCGAAAGAACCAAGAATATATATATCTCACCACCTTGATGATGAGAGAGACGCAGACTCCAAATCTACAGCAGCAGCAGCAGCAGGCGTCAGGGTCGGGATCGGGATCGAACCCCTGATCCTCCTGCATGGGGGCCGTCCATAAATGACGTCACGCGATTTTGGACGATTTTTGACCCCCCCCCCACCGCTCGTCACACGACGTCACAAAAAGTCAGACCCCCCCCCCCTTCAAGTATGACGTCACAAAGCTCTGCCCCCCCCCACCCCAAAACCATATTTCCATTTTTAAAATAAACATGCTTCAAATCGAATTTTGATTTAAAGCTTTCGTGACTGCAGTAATTCATATTCTTAGTTTTTTAGGTAAAGTCACGTTGAAGGGAAACAACAAAATAATAAAATATATAAAACAATAAAAAATTCTCACGACGTTTCGACCATAACTCAAACGGTAATCTTCAGGTGTGTTGGTTTGCATAAAATTATTTTTAAACGGCGCATTTATTTATTAACTAAGTTGCCTCTGTGGAGTAGTTACATTGGAGAAACCAAACGCCATGTCTCGGACCGTATTGTTTCCCTTCAACGTGACTTTACCGAAAAAACTAAGAATATGCTTCAAATCGCTTTAAAATATTGTCATTGTAGTGCGTATTTAATGTGGCGCTGCACTCTGATGTTGTAGGAGAAAACATTTATTAAAAAGTCTATTTATTTAAGTAGAACGTGTTGGCTATATTTATTTAAAGTTGCGCATTTTTATGTGACGTCACATTTCTCACCCCCCCTCTCGTCACACATCGTCACAAATGTCTGACCCCCCTAGGTGCGTGACGTCATTTATGGACGGCTCTTCACCGGATTCCCCCTGCGGTCTCAATAAACATTCTCCCTCTGACGTGCCCATCGGCACACACGGGGGGAAGGGTAAACACGCGGTGACGTCATCCGTCCGGGGCGGGGGGGGGCAAACTCGCGCGGACAGCGATGACGCAATGTCTCGGCGCGTCTGCGCGGTGACGTCACGCGGCGGGGCGGGCGCGCATGCGCAGTGTGCGGCTGGACGTGGCGCGGCGGCAGCTCCATCAAGCAGACTCAAGGCCAACTCCCCTGTGGTGATCGCGAGCGATCGAGAGTGATCGATATTGATCGAGAGTGATCGACATTGATCGACAGGCATCCGCAGTGATGAGCAGGGATCTAGAGTGATCGAAGGGCGTCCAGAGTGATCAGCAGGGATCCTGAATGATCTATAGAGATCTAGAGTGATCGATAGAGGTCTAGAGTGGTCTACAGGCGTCCAGAGTGATCTATAGAGATCTAGAGCGATCAGCAGGGATATATAGTGATCGATAGAGCTCTCGAGTGATCGATAGATCCCTAGAGTGATCGTTAGAGATCTAGAGTGATCGATACAGATCTAGAGTGATCAGCAGAGATTTCGAGTGATCAGGAATATACAGTGATCGATAGAGGTCTAGAGTGGTCTACAGGCGTCCAGAGTGATCGATAGAGCTCTCGAGTGATCGTTAGATCTCTAGAGTGATCGATAGAGATCTAGAGTGATCGATACAGATCTAGAGTGATCGATAGAGATCTAGAGTGATCAGCAGAGATTTCGAGTGATCAGGAATATACAGTGATCGATAGAGGTCTAGAGTGATCAGTAACTGTCTAGAGTGATCGATATTGAATATAGGGTGATCAGTAGGGGTCGAGAATGGTCGATATCCATCTACTGGAGTGATTGATAGAAGAAGCGTATTTGTCTCGAGTCCAACTCGATTTGTAGTGATCTCGAGTGATCGATACAGGTCTATAGTGATTGCTAGAGGTCTAGAGTGATATCTAGGGATCAATATAATCATGATAGTCACGTGAGTGTAGCGTACACGTATACTGGTGTACAAAGTAGTACTCGATTCATCAATATAGCTCAATAGTGATCAATACATAGTGATCAGTAGCCACCTAATAGAGTACAACCGTAGTGGTTAATACAGCTCTAGTGATCAATATATGTCTATAGTGGTTAATAGAGCTTTATTAAAGCTCTGCTTGTACTGCAGTACCATACAACTCTGCTGGTGAATATTAGTATCTGTTAAAGTGTGCATTACCACTACTACTGTACAACATATACTAGAAATCTATTGCAGGTATATCAGTATAATGCTAATCTATTGGTGTATGTAATATAGATATTGTATGTGCCTGCAGCTCTAGGTGTGTGTGGTGCAGCTCTGTGGGTGTGTGGTGCAGCTCTGTGTGTGTGTGGTTCAGCTCTGTGTGTGTGTGGTGCAGCTCTGTGAGTGTGTGGTGCAGCTCTGTGTGTGTGTGGTGCAGCTCTGTGTGTGTGTGGTGCAGCTCCGCGAGTGTGTGGTGCAGCTCTGTTAGTGTGTGGTGCAGCTCTGTTAGTGTGTGGTGCAGCTCTGTGTGTGTGTGGTGCAGCTCCGCGAGTGTGTGGTGCAGCTCTGTGTGTGAGTGGTGCAGCTCTGTGAGTGTGTGGTGCAGCTCTTGAGTGTGTGGTGCAGCTCTGTGTGTGTGGTGCAGCTCTGTGAGTGTGTGCTGCAGCTCTGTGAGTGTGTGGTGCAGCTCTGTGTGTGTGTGGTGCAGCTCTGTGAGTGTGGTGCAGCTCTGTGAGTGTGTGGTGCAGCTCTGAGTGTGTGGTGCAGCTCTGTGAGTGTGTGCTGCAGATCTGTGAGTGTGTGCTGCAGCTCTGTGAGTGTGTGGTGCAGCTCTGTGTGTGTGTGGTGCAGCTCTGTGTGTGTGGTGCAGCTCTGTGAGTGTGTGGTGCAGCTCTGTGTGTGTGGTGCAGCTCTGTGTGTGTGTGTGTGGTGCAGCTCTGTGTGTGTGGTGCAGCTCTGTGTGTGTGGTGCAGCTCTGTGAGTGTGTGGTGCAGCTCTGAGTGTGTGGTGCAGCTCTGTGAGTGTATGGTGCAGCTCTGTGAGTTTGTGGTGCAGCTCTGTGAGTGTGTGGTGCAGCTCTGTGAGTGTGTGCTGCAGGTCTGTGAGTGTGTACTGCAGCTCTGTGAGTGTGTGGTGCAGCTCTGTGAGTGTGTGGTGCAGCTCTGTGTGTGCTGCAGGTCTGTGAGTGTGTGGTGCAGCTCTGTGTGTGTGTGGTGCAGCTCTGTGTGTGTGTGGTGCAGCTCTGTGTGTGTGTGGTGCAGCTCTGTGAGTGTGTGCTGCAGCTCTGTGAGTGTGTGCTGCAGGTGTGTGAGTGTGTGCTGCAGGTCTGTGAGTGACCCTGTCTCTGTCCCCAGGTGCTATGGCAGGCGGCAGTGACTTCGGAAATCCCTTGAGGAAGTTCAAGCTCGTGTTCCTGGGCGAGCAGAGCGGTGAGATCCACAGCCCTGCCTTGGGCCTAGAGCCCAGACATATTTGTAACAAAGTCCAAGACCTCGGCCTATAGCATAGTCCTATAGCAGCCCAGTCCTATAGCTCGGTCTCATAGCCCTGCCTACCCCAGTACCCCAGACTCGCCAAGCCCTGGAGCTTGGCTCTGTATTTGAGCCCTATAGAACAGTTTATAGCCCAGTACCATAGTCCAACCCTACCCGCAGCACCGATTTATATCCAGCACTATGGAGCTGTAGCCCAGCCCTATGGCCCAGTCTCTAGTCCAATTCTGTAGCTGTGGCTGATTATCCAGCCACGTAGCCCAGCCCTCTAGACCAGGGCTAATAGTGCCGCGCCATAGCCTAACCCCGTGTGTGTGTGTGCGTATCTTTGTTTTTGTTCTGCAGTTGGCAAGACCTCACTCATCACAAGGTTCATGTACGACAGCTTCGACAACACGTACCAGGTGGGTGCCACGGTGGTGAGATGTTAACTACCTCGCCTGGTATACAGAAGGTCGTGGGATCGATCCCGACCCTGACGCTTGCTGTATATTTGGAGTTTGCGAGTTTTCTCTGTGGCCGTGTGGCTTTTCCCTCCACATTTACAAACTTGCGTTTCGAGTATTTATTTGGCTGCTATACATTTCCACGTTATACGCCACTTGGTTGGGCTAGCCAGGTCACTTCTGAAAAAGAGCGATATAACTCAGTGGGCTTTACCTGGAAAAATGAAAAATAATTTAGTTTAGAGAGGGAGGCTGCCACAGTGGTGTAGTCGTTGGCACACTGGACTTACAATTCACGGTTGCCGATTCAACTCCATCGCCTGGTGCGGCTGTTGATACAAGGAAGCAAGTTTATTGAATCCGCCGTGTGAATGGACGCAGCGCCACGGTCAGTTGGACAGGCGGTGGCATACGTGGTTCAGGGAGTATAGTGCGGGTACTTCCGCTTTCAGAATCAGAATATTTATTTAGACTGCAGGAGGAATCTGATGAGCTATAAAGCTATTTTCCACAGATGTGCAGTGGGGGCACGGAGTCAGAACGTTACAACAACAAACAGGACAAAAACACGATAGGAGTGCCAAGTATAGCAAAGGTAAACAAATCATTATCAAAATATAGACAAGCGAAACTAAACTATGTTTATCTGACCAGGTAACGCCCACTGAGCTAGTAGCTTATTTTTCTATTACTAATTGTAAATGTTGTGGGTTCACTCTCCAACACACAACCGGTGTGCCGAAACAAGTAACTAATTGGGACGTTTTGTTGAGGTCACAAACCCTTAACTAGTTGGCCGTGTCGGGCGGCAGCGGCGGCGGGTTAAACAACACGACACTTGTATTCGTGCGATTCAACACCCACAAATACAACTTCTTATTGTGGATACTCAATTTGGGATCACACAGCAGCAGCAGCAACATCGCCCCCCTACTGCGAAAACCATGGCAAGGACTCTTGAAAAAGAGTCTTGAGGCTCACTGAAGCTGCAACTTAAAATAACGAAGAGGGCCCTTGATCTCTCTCCCGTGCGTCTCTTCCCCCGCCCGCCTCCGTGTGGCGCTCGTGAATTATTGAGGCCTCCCGCGGTGCTGTGTTGACAGGGTCCTCCATTATTCACGAAGGCCTGCTCGCCTTCCGCTGGGCTCCGTTGTCAAATGAGCGCTTGTTAAACAGCGCGCTCCGCTGGGGAGGGCCCCGTCGGTTAGGGTCCCACCGGCGAGGGCCCCGTCGGTTAGGGTCCCACCGGCGAGGGTCCCACCAGCTAGCGCCCCGCCACACCTCGGTACAAATCACTTCCTGCCACCCCAAACACAGATGCCAGTGCCGGGACTGGTGGCAACTGTAACTCTGCCAAGCCTAGGGGAGGCTCTGTGCGGTGGAGACATGGGGAGGCCGTGTTGCATTTAGCACACGAATCTTGCGTTTAACACAAGATTCGTGATAGGTCAAGAGTGTAGCACGCTTCTTGAATCAAACGCGGCCATCGTTGTTACACGAGCTTTGGGGGAGAGAGATGATCGGAGGAAATTCCCAAGTGGAGCAGTGCGAAGGAAGATGTAGAGGATTTGGAATTGTATCCGTTAAAAGTATTTCACCCAGAGAATCCCTCGGAATGGGACGGCTCGTTAAGCGAAGCTCAGGGCCCCGGGCGTCGCTGGACACACGCTCCACGCTCGTAGCGACGCACGCACACGGACTCGCAGTGACACACGCTCCACTCTCGTAGCGACACGCACACGGACTCGCAGTGACACACGCTCCACGCTCGTAGCGACGCACACACACGAACTCACCGTGACACACGGTCGTAGCGACGCACGCACACGGACTCGCAGTGACACACGCACGCAGGCTTGTAGCGACGCAGGCACACGGACTCGCAGTGACACACGCTCCACACTCGTAGCGACGCACACACACGGACTCGCAGTGACACACGCTCCACGCTCGTAGCGACGCACACACACGAACTCACCGTGACACACGGTCGTAGCGACGCACGCACACGGACTCGCAGTGACACACGCACGCAGGCTTGTAGCGACGCAGGCACACGGACTCGCAGTGACACACGCTCCACACTCGTAGCGACGCAGGCACGTGCACCTGTAGTGGCCGTGCGTACGTTGCGACGTGAGCTGTCGCGGCCCTCCCGTGGGTCGACTTCTCTCCGCCGCTTCTCTCTCCCTGTGCCTGCAGGCGACCATCGGCATCGACTTCCTGTCCAAGACGATGTACCTGGAGGACCGCACAGTGAGTGGCCTCCTCCTCTTCTTCTTAAGTGTTCTCTCTGCTAATGTCTCCTCTTTCCTTCTGCCCCCCTCCTCCTCCTCCTCCACCACCGCGTGGTGATTGCTCTCCTGCGGGGCAGTGGGTAGAGTTGAGTCGTCCCCCCCGCACAGCCACTGCGTGGAATGGACGTCGCGTGAAGGGGTTTCAGAGGTAGTTCCACGGTGTGCGCATCCGCAGGCCCCGTTCCCTGAGACGGGGCGCCCACGAGTGGCGTGCCTGGAATACAAGTTAAATTGTGGAATCGTTGATGTAAATTTATGCGCTGTGTTTGTGTGCGAGCATTGAGTAAGGCTGGCTAGGTCGACCCGGCCTCAAATGTGTAGTAAACATCACCATGAAGGAGACAAAGGCAGCCGGACGTGGTGCTGGCCACCCACCCCCTCATGTATCGTGCCCGCCTTTGTAGATGCTGCTCGCTAACAGCACTTGCCCCAATCATCCGTACCGTGTCATCGTACCGTGTGAATGCCGTTCGTGTACCGTGTTGCTGTACTGCACGTGTACCGTGTTGTCGTACTGGACGTGTACCGTGTCGTACTGCACATGTACCGTGTTGTTGTACTGGACATGTACCGTGTTGTCGTACTGCACGTGTACCGTGTTGTCGTACTGCACGTGTACCGTGTTGTCGTACTGCACGTGTACCGTGTTGTCGTACTGGACGTGTACCGTGTTGCTGTACTGCACGTGTACCGTGTTGTCGTACTGCACGTGTACCGTGTTGTCGTACTGGACGTGTACCGTGTTGTCGTGCTGCACGTGTACCGTGTCGTACTGGACGTGTACCATGTCGTACTGCACGTGTACCGTGTTGTCGTACTGCACGTGTACCGTGTTGTCGTACTGGACGTGTACCGTGTTGTCGTACTGGACGTGTACCGTGTTGTCGTACTGCACGTGTACCGTGTTGTCGTACTGGACGTGTACCGTGTTGTCGTACTGCACGTGTACCGTGTTGTCGTACTGGACGTGTACCGTGTTGTCGTACTGCACGTGTACCGTGTTGTCGTACTGGACGTGTACCGTGTTGTCGTACTGGATGTGTACCGTGTTGTCGTACTGGACGTGTACCGTGTTGTACTGGACGTGTACTGTGTTGTCGTACTGCACGTGTACCGTGTTGTCGTACTGGACGTGTACCGTGTTGTCGTACTGGACGTGTACCGTGTTGTCGTACTGCACGTGTACCGTGTTGTCGTACTGCACGTGTACCGTGTTGTCGTACTGCACGTGTACCGTGTTGTCGTACTGGGCGTGTACCGTGTTGTCGTACTGGACGTGTACCGTGTTGTCGTACTGGACGTGTACCGTGTTGTCGTACTGGACGTGTACCGTGTTGTCGTACTGCACGTGTACCGTGTTGTCGTACTGGACGTGTACCGTGTTGTCGTACTGCACGTGTACCGTGTTGTCGTGTTGCACGTGTACCGTGTTGTCGTACTGGACGTGTACCGTGTTGTCGTACTGGACGTGTACCGTGTTGTCGTGCTGCACTCTAGATCAGGCTGCAGCTCTGGGACACGGCCGGCCAGGAGCGCTTCCGCAGCCTCATCCCCAGCTACATCCGCGACTCGGCTGCCGCCGTGGTGGTCTACGACATCACGAGTACGCCCATACACTGACAGCCGCTTCTCTTCCTCCTCCTCCTCCTTCCCTCTACTCACCTACTCCTGTTTGCTCCGTCTGTGTGCGTGTGTGATGGCGCTCTGGGTGCGTGCACGCACTGAGTGTGTGTGCTGTGTCACTTCCCGGCTATGTGTTGCCTCTGCCCGTGTGTGCATTTGTATGGCGTCATCTCACTCCACTCCACGTCTCACTAACCTCACCTCTCACTCACTCTGCATCCCACTGACTCCACCTCTCACACACTCCACGTCTTACTCACTAACTCCACCTCTCACTCCACGTCTTACTCACTCACTCCACCTTTCACTCACTCCACCTCTCACTCACTCCACCTCTCACACACTCCACGTCTTACTCACTAACTCCACCTCTCACTCACTCCACCTCTCACTCACTCCACCTCTCACTCACTCCACGTCTTACTCACTAACTCCACCTCTCACTCACTCCACCTCTCACTCACTCCACGTCTTACTCACTCACTCCACCTTTCACTCACTCCACCTCTCATTCACTCCACGTCTTACGCACTCACTCCACCTTTCACTCACTCCACCTCTCACTCACTCCACGTCTTACTCACTCACTCCACCTCTCACTCACTCCACCTCTCACTCACTCCACGTCTTACTCACTAACTCCACCTCTCACTCACTCCACCTCTCACTCACTCCACGTCTTACTCACTCCACCTTTCACTCACTCCACCTCTCATTCACTCCACGTCTTACGCACTCACTCCCACATCTCACTCCAACATCTCACTCACTCTGCATCTCACCCCACATCCTCTTCTCCGATCGTGCGTGTGTCTGTATGCCTGTGCGTGTGTCTGTATGCCTGTGCGTGTGTCTGTATGCCTGTGCGTGTGTCTGTATGCCTGTGCGTGTGTCTGTATGCCTGTGCGTGTGTCTGTATGCCTGTGCGTGTGTCTGTATGCCTGTGCGTGTGTCTGTATGCCTGTGCGTGTGTCTGTATGCCTGTGCGTGTGTCTGTATGCCTGTGTGTGTGTGTCTGTATGCCTGTGCGTGTGTCTGTATGCCTGTGCGTGTGTCTGTATGCCTGTGTGTGTGTCTGTATGCCTGTGTGTGTGTCTGTATGCCTGTGCGTGCGCGTGGCCCCGTTCTGCCTGTCGTCCCTCTGCTGCCCACCGCACGCCGCCGCTCCTGTCGCCCCGGGGGGAGCCACCGCTGCCCCCACCATCGCCCCCCTCACCCCCACCACTCCTAGGGCCTCCCCGCTCCCTCCTCCTCCTCCTCCTCCCGCGCCTCCTTCCCCCCATCCCCCCACCATCGCCTCCTTCCCCCGGCCAGGTGCGCCTACAGCTGTGGGACACGGCTGGGCAGGAGAGGTTCCGTAGCCTCATCCCCAGCTACATCCGCGACTCCACTGTGGCGGTCGTAGTCTACGACGTCACCAGTGAGTAACGCGCCTCCCTCTCTCTTTCGCGGGGGGTGGGGGGGGTGCCCTGGGGGGGTGGGGGGCCGTAGGGGGCCGTAGGGGGCCGTCGGAACCTGTAGCAAGCAGCACCCCAGCCACACCCCCCCCCCCCCCCAACCATCACCTGAGCATGAACACGGGGCTGGCTTCCAGACGTCCGTGCGAGTCAGGGTCTCTTCACCCGAATGATCGTGTGTGTTGTGTGTGTTGTGTCTGTGTGTGTTGTGTGTGTTGTGTCTGTGTGTGTTGTGTGTGTTGTGTCTGTGTGTGTTGTGTGTGTTGTGTCTGTGTGTGTTGTGTGTGTTGTGTCTGTGTGTGTTGTGTGTGTTGTGTCTGTGTGTGTTGTGTGTGTTGTGTCTGTGTGTGTTGTGTCTGTGTGTGTTGTGTCTGTGTGTGTTGTGTGTGTTGTATCTGTGTGTGTTGTGTGTGTTGTGTCTGTGTGTGTTGTGTGTGTTGTGTCTGTGTGTGTTGTGTGTGTTGTATCTGTGTGTGTTGTGTGTGTTGTGTCTGTGTGTGTTGTGTGTTGTGTGTGTGTGTGTTGTGTGTGTTGTGTCTGTGTGTGTTGTGTGTTGTGTCTGTGTGTGTTGTGTGTGTTGTATCTGTGTGTGTTGTGTGTGTTGTGTCTGTGTGTGTTGTGTGTTGTGTGTGTGTGTGTTGTGTGTGTTGTGTCTGTGTGTGTTGTGTGTTGTGTCTGTGTGTGTTGTGTGTGTTGTGTCTGTGTGTGTTGTGTGTGTTGTATCTGTGTGTGTTGTATCTGTGTGTTGTGTGTGTTGTGTGTGTTGTGTCTGTGTGTGTTGTGTCTGTGTGTGTTGTGTGTGTTGTGTCTGTGTGTGTTGTGTCTGTGTGTGTTGTGTGTGTTGTATCTGTGTGTGTGTTGTATCTGTGTGTGTTGTATCTGTGTGTGTTGTGTGTTGTGTGTGTTGTGTGTGTTGTGTCTGTGTGTGTTGTGTGTGTGTGTTGTGTCTGTGTGTGTTGTGTGTTGTGTGTGTTGTGTCTGTGTGTGTTGTGTGTGTGTTGTATCTGTGTGTGTTGTATCTGTGTGTGTTGTGTGTGTTGTGTCTGTGTGTGTTGTGTGTGTTGTATCTGTGTGTGTGTTGTATCTGTGTGTGTTGTATCTGTGTGTGTTGTGTCTGTGTGTTTTGTATCTGTGTGTGTTGTATCTGTGTGTGTTGTGTGTGTTGTATCTGTGTGTGTGTTGTATCTGTGTGTGTTGTATCTGTGTGTGTTGTGTGTGTTGTGTGTGTTGTGTCTGTGTGTGTTGTGTCTGTGTGTGTTGTGTGTGTTGTATCTGTGTGTGTTGTATCTGTGTGTGTTGTGTGTGTTGTGTCTGTGTGTGTTGTGTCTGTGTGTGTTGTGTGTGTTGTATCTGTGTGTGTGTGTTGTATCTGTGTGTGTTGTATCTGTGTGTGTTGTGTCTGTGTGTGTTGTATCTGTGTGTGTTGTGTCTGTGTGTGTTGTATCTGTGTGTGTTGTGTGTGTTGTATCTGTGTGTGTGTTGTATCTGTGTGTGTTGTATCTGTGTGTGTTGTGTGTGTTGTGTGTGTTGTGTCTGTGTGTGTTGTGTCTGTGTGTGTTGTGTGTGTTGTATCTGTGTGTGTGTTGTATCTGTGTGTGTTGTATCTGTGTGTGTTGTATCTGTGTGTGTTGTGTCTGTGTGTGTTGTATCTGTGTGTGTTGTGTCTGTGTGTGTTGTATCTGTGTGTGTTGTGTGTGTTGTGTCTGTGTGTGTTGTGTCTGTGTGTGTTGTGTGTTGTATCTGTGTGTGTTGTGTGTGTTGTGTCTGTGTGTGTTGTATCTGTTGTATCTGTGTGTGTGTTGTGTCTGTGTGTGTTGTGTGTTGTGTGTGTTGTATCTGTGTGTGTTGTGTGTGTTGTATCTGTGTGTGTTGTGTCTGTTGTATCTGTGTGTGTTTGTTGTGTGTGTTATATCTATCTTTGTGATTGTGTGTTAGATCTGTGTTTGTTGAGTGTGTATGCTGTGTGTTACTATCTGTGTGTTGTAATTGTGCAGTGTGTGTGCAGTTCTGTGTTATATATGTGTGTGGGGTGTGTGATATGTTCAGTGTGTGTTATATACGTGTGTGTTGTATGTGTTGTGTGTGCAGTGTTGTGTGTATCTGTGCAGTGTTGTGTGTGTGCAGTGTGTTGTGTGTGTGCAGTGTGTTGTGTGTGTGCAGTGTGTTGTGTGTAATGTTGCGTGTGTGTGTGTGCAATGTTGCGTGTTATATTTGTGTGTTGTGTGTGTGTTATATCTATGTTTTGTGTGTTATATCTGTGTGTGTGTTATACCTCTGTGTGTGTGTTGTATGTGTGTTATATATCTGTGTGTGTTGTATGTGTGTTATATATTTATGTGTGTGTAGTGTGTGTAGTGTGTTATATATTTGTGTGTAGTGTGTGTATGTGGTGTGTGTAATGTGTAGTGTGTGTGTGTAGTGTTTGTGTAGTGTGTTATATGTTTGTGTGTAGTGTGTGTGTGTAGTGTGTAGTGTGACTTATGCAGCTGCAATGGCTGCTTTGGGTACGCGGTCCAGACCTCCCCAGAGACCCTGGCTGACAGAGGAGGTGTTCAGGATGGTTGAGGAAAAACGACAGGCCCACTGTCATCGGCTACAGAATCCCACGTCAGAGAATGAGGAGGCTTACCCCAGCCTTCGCTCGGAGGTTCGGAGAGCCGTGAGGCGCTGCAAGGATGGGTGGTGGTCGCGGGTTGCTGAGGAGATGGAGTCTGCCTCAGTAGCCCACGATCATAAATCTCTATTTAACTCCATAAAAAAGTAACCTGCAGCGCCACACCTATTACCATCATTAGGGGAAAAAACAGTGATCCAATCTCCGTCCCCCAGGAACAGGTTTGCAGATTTGCTGAGCATTTCTGTGAGGTCCAGGGGGAGGGAAAATCCCTCAGCCAAGAAAATATCGTGGCACAAAGTGAGGATGACCCTGCTGAGGCTGCGGCGCCTCTAATATTGGAGGAAGTCACCCCCTGTGAGTGGCTGGCTGAAGTGCCATCTTTTGAGGAAGTACTGAGGGCGATCTGGAGTCTGAGACCAGGAAAGGCAGCGGGCAGAGATGATCTCCCAAGCGAAATGCTGAGGGAGGGTGGCGTTTGTGCACAGACTGCCCTATATGACATCATAACAACAGTCCGGACCACTGGACGGGTTCCGCAGGATTGGAAGGATGCCCTGGTGGTCCCCCTCTTTAAGAAGGGGGACCGCACAGACTGTAACAACTACAGGGGCATCTCACTCCTCAGTGTGCCGGGAAAGGTCCTGGCAAGGATTATTCAACATCGCCTTGCCAGGCACGCTGAGGAGAGGCTTTGCGGAGCCCCAATGCGGTTTCAGGAAAGGGCGGTCCTGCACAGATGCCATATTTTCTGTCCATCTGCTACAGCAGAGGTGTAGGGAATTCCAGCAAGACCTGCATCTCTGCTTTATTGACCCGATCAAGGCCTATGATACCATCAGTAGGCCTGGGCTCTGGGTTGTTCTTCGTGCTTTCGGAGTACCTGACCCTCTGCTCACGATCATTAAGGACCTTCATGATAGTGAGCGGGCCCGGGTAAAACTACGTGGCCGGGAGTCAGAGCCATTCCCTGTACACCTTGGGGTGCGACAGGGATGTCCTCTGGCTCCCACATTATTTAACATCTATTTTGACCACGTAGTTCGTGAAGCCTTCAATAGCTGTACCGGGGCAATCTCCATATGGTACAGATATAATGGGAGGCTGATCGATGCCCGGGTGCGGTCAAGGGATGGCTCCCTATTGCTCAACTACGTTATGTATGCTGATGATTTGATAATAGCTGCTCATTCAGAGGAGGAGTTGGAGATGCTGCTGCTCCTCCGGCAGTTGGAGGTAGTCGCCCTTCAACAACAACGGAGGGCGGAGGAGCGACGCTCACAACAACGAGCGGAGCGCCGGGTGGCTAGGGCACAGCAAGTTGGCACAGTAGGGGGCACAGGTGGTGCATCAGCCAGTCGTCTCAGTCGTCTGAGTAGGTTGACTTATGGCACCTGGGTCTGCCCCGTGACCTCCTGCCAGTGGGCGTTCGACACTTCACGTGGCCTCAAGGTGCACATAGCCTGGCACAAGCGTCGTGGTGACGTCACCGCCAAATGGCGGTTGTGTTTGTGTGTGTTATAGCTGTTTGTGTTGTGTGTGTAGTGTGTGTGTGTAGTGTGTGTGTAGTGTGTGTGTAGTGTGTGTAATGTGTGTAGTGTGTGTGTAGTGTGTGTGTGTGTAGTGTGTGTAGTGTGTGTAGTGTAGTGTGTAGTGTGTGTGTAGTGTATGTGTGTAGTGTATGTGTGTAGTCTGTGTGTGTAGTGTGTGTGTGTAGTGTGTGTGTGTGTAGTGTGTGTGTGTGTTGTGTGTGTGTGTGTAGTCTGTGTGTGTAGTGTGTGTGTGTAGTGTGTGTGTAGTGTGTGTGTGTAGTATGTGTAGTGTGTGTGTGTGTGTAGTGTGTGTGTGTAGTGTGTGTAGTGTATGTGTGTAGTGTGTGTAGTGTGTGTGTAGTGTGTATGTAGTGTGTGTGTTACCCGGCCACCCCCCTTCATACCCATTCCCGGCCTTCGTAGGTGCCGCTCGCGAAAAGAGCACTTGCCCCAATAGCCTGTTAAGGCTATGCGGGGGATCTTTGTTTGTTTGTGCGTGCGTGCGTACGCGCAGACGTCAACTCATTCCAGCAGACGTCCAAGTGGATCGACGACGTGCGGACCGAGCGAGGCAGCGACGTCATCATCATGCTGGTGGGGAACAAGACCGACTTGGCGGACAAGAGGTTGGCACCGACCCACCACGCCCGCGCACGCCACACCGGCCGGCAAAACCTCCGCCGAGGACTCCCGCCCGGCTCGGGGCCCGGTCACGGTCGCCGAGAGCGGAGGAGGCGGAGAGCGGCCGCTCTCGCGTGGGTCGACGACCCCGCTCGCTCGCCGCTTTCCTGCCCCCGTTGCCTCCGCGGCCCCCAAAGTGGGGGTTTGGCAAATTCTCGACGTGACCCGCCGGCCCCCCCCCCTCACCTCCGGAGCGAGCGCCTGGGGAACCAGCGCAGTTGGCGAGCGGCCAGTGCCGTGGCCGGCCGCGTCCCGAGCGCTGATGTTTACGCCCCGCGTCGACCTGGGCGGGGAGACCCACGGCCGGTTCGGGCCTTGTTTGCGGCCTCGAGCGGGGAATCGAACCCGGGCCATCGGGTTCGTGGCGCGGCACGCTGACCGCTGAGCCACCGCTTCGCCCTTCGGAGGCAGAAGATCCCCCGTAGAGCCGGTGACAGACCGTTGGGGCGAGCGCTATTAGCGAGTAGCACCTGCGAAGGCCGACACAGCACGCGAGGGGGTGGCCTTTGTCTCCCCGGTAGCCATGTTCACACGGCGCACCAGGAACTCGCTTGAGGCCGAATCGACCGAGGGGACGCCCACGGTTATTGGTCATGAGCGGGAATCGGAACTCGAGTTGCTGGGTTCAAGGACACGGCGTGCTTACTGCTGTGCCACCGCCTCCCAGACAACACGGACACAAGGATATATACTCTCCCTCTCCCCCTGTGAACTCTCCCCCCATGAACTCTCCCCCCGTGAACTCTCCCCCTGTGAACTCTCCCCCCGTGACCTCTCCCCCTGTGAACTCTCCCCCTGTGAGCTCTCCCCCTGTGAGCTCTCCCCCTGTGAGCTCTCCCCCTGTGAGCTCTCCCCCTGTGAACTCTCCCCCTGTGAGCTCTCCCCGTGAACTCTCCCCCTGTGAACTCTCCCCGTGAACTCTCCCCTGAACTCTCCCCGTGAACTCTCCCCCCGTGACCTCTCCCCCTGTGAACTCTCCCCCTGTGAACTCTCCCCCCGTGAACTCCCCCCGTGAACTCTCCCCCCATGAACTCTCCCCCTGTGAACTCTCTCCCCGTGAACTCTCCCCCTGTGAACTCTCTCCCCGTGAACTCTCCCTGTGAGCTCTCCCCCCGTGAGCTCTCCCCGTGAACTCTCCCCCCGTGAACTCTCCCCCTGTGAACTCTCCCCGTGAACTCTCCCCCTGTGAACTCTCCTCGTGACCTCTCCCCATGAACTCTCTCTGTGAGCTCTCCCTGTAAGCTCTCCCCCTGTGAACTCTCCCCGTGAACTCTCCCCCTGTGAACTCTCCCTGTGAACTCTCCCCCTGTGAACTCTCCCCCTGTGAACTCTCCCCCTGTGAGCTCTCCCCGTGAACTCTCCCCCTGTGAACTCTCCCTGTGAACTCTCCCCCCGTGAACTCTCCCCCCGTGACCTCTCCCCCTGTGAACTCTCCCCCTGTGAACTCTCCCCCTGTGAACTCTCCCCCTGTGAACTCTCCCCGTGAGCTCTCCCCCTGTGAACTCTCCCTGTGACCTCTCCCCGTGAACTCTCCCCTGAACTCTCCCCCCGTGAACTCTCCCCCTGTGAACTCTCTCCCCGTGAACTCTCCCCTGAACTCTCCCCGTGACCTCTCCCCGTGAACTCTCCCCCTGTGACCTCTCCCCGTGAACTCTCCCCTGAACTCTCCCCCTGTGAACTCTCCCCCTGTGAACTCTCCCCCTGTGAACTCTTCCCCTGTGAACTCTCTCCCCGTGAACTCTCCCCCTGTGAACTCTCTCCCCGTGAACTCTCCTCGTGAACTCTCCCCCTGTGAACTCTCCCCCCGTGACCTCTCCCCGTGAACTCTCCCTGTGAGCTCTCCCCCTGTGAGCTCTCCCCCTGTGAGCTCTCCCCTGAACTCTCCCCGCGTGACCTCTCCCCGTGAACTCTCCCCTGAACTCTCCCCCCGTGAACTCTCCCCCCGTGAACTCTCCCCCTGTGAGTTTTCCCTGTGAGCTCTCCCTGTGAACTCTCCCCCTGTGAACTCTCCCCGTGAACTCTCCCCGTGAACTCTCCCCCCATGACCTCTCCCCCTGTGAACTCTCCCCCCGTGAGCTCTCCCTGTGAGCTCTCTTTGTGAACTCTCCCCCTGTGAACTCTCCCTGTGAACTCTCCCCTGAACTCTCCCCGTGAACTCTCCCCCCATGACCTCTCCCCCTGTGAACTCTCCCCCCGTGAGCTCTCCCTGTGAGCTCTCCTTGTGAACTCTCCCCCTGTGAGCTCTCCCTGTGAACTCTCCCCTGAACTCTCCCCGTGACCTCTCCCCCCGTGAACTCTCCCCCCGTGCCCCCCACAGACAGGTGTCCATCGACGAAGGCGAGCGAAAGGCCAAGGAGCTGAACGTGATGTTCATCGAGACCAGCGCCAAGGCCGGCTACAACGTCAAGCAGGTGCGCACCTCCCGGCCCCCGGCACGGGTAGACGCCCGGACGCCCGGCTGCCCAGCCGCTGCACGGACAAAAGCCGGCGGAGTGACGGCAGCGCGACGATTGGCGCAGAGTAGCGGGAGCGGTAGTGGAGTATGTAGTGTATAGTGTAGTGTAGTATGTAGTGTAGTGTAGTATGTAGTGTAGTATGTAGTGTAGTATGTAGTGTATAGTGTAGTATGTAGTGTGTAGTGTAGTGTAGGATGTAGTGTGTAGTGTAGTGTAGTATGTAGTGTGTAGTGTAGTGTAGTATGTAGTGTGTAGTGTAGTGTAGGATGTAGTGTGTAGTGTAGTGTAGTATGTAGTGTAGTATGTAGTGTGTAGTGTAGTATGTAGTGTAGTATGTAGTGTAGTGTGTAGTGTAGTATGTAGTGTAGTATGTAGTGTATAGTGTAGTGTAGTATGTAGTGTAGCGTGTAGTGTAGTATGTAGTGTAGTGTAGTATGTAGTGTAGTATGTAGTGTAGCGTGTAATGTAGTGTAGTATGTAGTGTAGTATGTAGTGTGTAGTGTAGTATGTAGTGTAGTATGTAATGTAGTGTAGTATGTAGTGTAGTGTAGTATGTAGTGTGTAGTGTAGTGTAGTATGTAGTGTGGTGTAGTATGTAGTGTAGTATGTAGTTTAGTGGTAGTGTAATGTAGCGGTATTGAAGCGTGTTGTGTAGTGTAATATGTAGTGTGTAGTGTAGCAGAATTGTAGTGTGTAGTGGGTGTGTAGTATGTAGTGTAATGTCGTGGTATTGTGTGTAGTGTAATATGTAGTGTGTAGTGTAGCAAAATTGTAGTGTGTAGTGGTAGTGTAGTGTGTAGTATATAGTGTAGTGTGTAGTGTAGTTTAGTGGTAGTGTAGTGTAATATAGCAGTATTGTAGTGTGTAGTTTAGTGGTAGTGTAATGTAGCGGTATTATAGTGTGTAGTTTAGTGGTAGTGTAATGTAGCGGTATTGTAGTGTGTAGTTTAGTGGTAGTGTAATGTAGCGATAGCATGTAGTGTAGTGGTAGTGTAATGTAGCGGTAGTGTAGTGTGTGTAATGTAGTGGTAGTGTAGCCATTGTGTAGTGTGTAGTGTAGCGGTAGTATAGTGGGTGTAATGTAGTAGTGTAGTGGTAGTATAGTGTGATGTAGTGATAGTGTAGTGGTTGTGTGTAATTGTAGTCTAGCGGTAGTGGTAGTCTAGTGGTAGTGGTAGTCTAGCGGTAGTCTAGTGGTAGTGGTAGTCTAGCGGTAGTGGTAGTCTAGTGGTAGTGGTAGTCTAGTGGTAGTGGTAGTCTAGTGGTAGTCTAGTGGTAGTGGTAGTCTAGTGGTAGTGGTAGTCTAGTGGTAGTCTAGCAGTAGTGGTAGTCTAGTGGTAGTCTAGTGGTAGTCTAGTGGTAGTGGTAGTCTAGTGGTAGTCTAGCAGTAGTGGTAGTCTAGTGGTAGTATAGTGGTAGTGGTAGTCTCGTGGTAGTGGTAGTCTAGTGGTAGTCTAGCAGTAGTGGTAGTCTAGTGGTAGTCTAGTTGTAGTCTAGTGGTAGTGGTAGTCTAGTGGTAGTCTACTGGTAGTGGTAGTCTAGTGGTAGTGGTAGTCTAGTGGTAGTCTAGCGGTAGTGGTAGTCTAGCGGTAGTGGTAGTCTAGCGGTAGTGGTAGTCTAGTGGTAGTCTAGTGGTAGTGGTAGTCTAGCGGTAGTGGTAGTCTAGTGGTAGTCTAGTGGTAGTGGTAGTCTAGTGGTAGTGGTAGGGTGTAGCGTAGCGCAAGCGGCAGGCACCCCGTGCTTTGTCCCATGCAGCGCCGGCCCGGGGGCAGAGATCACAGCCACCGTCCATGCTTCTCGTGTGTCACTCCGCCCCTCTGCCGTGTGTGCGTGTCTGCGTGTGTGCGTGTCTGCGTGTGTGCGTGCACGTATTTGTGCACGTGAGTGTGGGCGCGTGTGTCTGCGTGTGTCTGCGTGTGCTTGCGTGTGTGCTTGCCCGTGTGTGCGTGCCCGTGTGTGCGTGCGCTTGGTGTGTATGCATGTGTGTGAGCTCACGTGTGTGTGTGTGCACGTGTGTGTGTGTGTGCACGTGTGTGTGTGTGGACGTGTGTGTGTGTGTGTGTGCACGCGTGTGTGTGAGCTCACGTGTGTGTGTGTGTGTGCACGTGTGTGTGTGCATGTGTGTGTGTGCACGTGTGTGTGTGTGCACGTGTGTGTGTGTGTGTGCACGTGTGTGTGCACGTGTGTGTGTGTGCACGTGTGTGTGCACGTGTGTGTGCACGTGTGTGTGTGTGTGTGCACGTGTGTGTGTGTGTGCACGTGTGTGTGTGTGCATGTGTGTGTGAGAGCACGTGTGTGCGCTGCCAAGAAGTGACGTTGCCCCAGATACGTTGCCGATTTTATACCTTGTTACTTTAAGGCACCGCCGGTTGCTGACAAGTTCAAATTTGTTACTTTAAAACTGCCCGTGCCACCGACTCGGGTGCCATGTCGCCGTCCACCAAGTTTGCGATGCCACCGCCTCACAACCGCCGCGTCCCTCCGCAGCTCTTCCGGCGCGTGGCGGCCGCACTCCCAGGCATGGATGCCTCTCCGGAGAGAAGCAAGGAGGACAGTATCCTTGATGCCGCCCCCACCGCCTCGCCTGCGTTGGCACCGTGCCACCCTCAGCTCATCCTCGCTCTCTCTACCCGCTCTCTCTACCGCTCTCCCTACCCGCTCTCCCTACCCGCTCTCCCTACCCGCTCTCCCTACCCGCTCTCTCTCCCCACTCTCCCTACCCGCTCTCCCTACCCGCTCTCTCTACCGCTCTCCCTACCCGCTCTCCCTACCCGCTCTCCCTACCCGCTCTCTCTCTCTCCCCGCTCTCTCTCCCCGCTCTCTCTACCCGCTCTCTCTCCCCGCTCTCCCTACCCGCTCTCCCTACCCGCTCTCCCTACCCGCTCTCTCTACCCGCTCTCCCTACCCGCTCTCCCTACCCGCTCTCTCTACCCGCTCTCTCTCCCCGCTCTCCCTACCCGCTCTCCCTACCCGCTCTCCCTACCCGCTCTCCCTACCCTCTCTCTCTACCCGCTCTCCCTACCCGCTCTCCCTACCCGCTCTCCCTACCCGCTCTCCCTACCCTCTCTCTCTACCCTCTCTTCCTACCGCTCTCTCTCTCTACCCGCTCTCCCTACCCGCTCTCTCTACCCGCTCTCTCTCCCCGCTCTCCCTACCCGCTCTCTCTCCCCACTCTCCCTACCCGCTCTCCCTACCCGCTCTCCCTACCCGCTCTCCCTACCCGCTCTCTCTACCCGCTCTCTACCCACTCTCTCTCTCTCCCCGCTCTCTCTCCCCGCTCTCTCTACCCGCTCTCTCTCCCCGCTCTCCCTACCCGCTCTCCCTACCCGCTCTCCCTACCCGCTCTCTCTACCCGCTCTCCCTACCCGCTCTCCCTACCCGCTCTCTCTACCCGCTCTCTCTCCCCGCTCTCCCTACCCGCTCTCCCTACCCGCTCTCCCTACCCGCTCTCCCTACCCTCTCTCTCTACCCGCTCTCCCTACCCGCTCTCCCTACCCGCTCTCCCTACCCGCTCTCCCTACCCTCTCTCTCTACCCTCTCTTCCTACCGCTCTCTCTCTCTACCCGCTTTCCCTACCCGCTCTCCCTAATCGCTCTCTCTACCCGCTCTCTCTACCCACTCTCTCTCTCTCCCCGCTCTCTCTACCCGCTCTCCCTACCCGCTCTCCCTACCCGCTCTCTCTACCCGCTCTCTCTACCCACTCTCTCTCTCTACCCGCTCTCTCTACCCACTCTCTCTACCCACTCTCCCTACCCGCTCTCCTACCCGCTCTCTCTACCGCTCTCTCTACCCGCTCTCTCTTCCCGCTCTCTCTACTCGCTCTCTCCCTACCCACTCTCTCTACCCGCTCTCTCTACCCGCTCTCTCTACCCACTCTCTCTACCCACTCTCTCTACCCGCTCTCCCTACCCGCTCTCCCTACCCGCTCTCCCTACCCGCTCTCTCTACCTGCTCTCCCTACCCGCTCTCCCTACCCGCTCTCTCTCTACCCACTATCTCTACCCGCTCTCTCTACCCACTCTCTCTACCCGCTCTCCCTACCCGCTCTCCCTAATCGCTCTCTCTACCCGCTCTCTCTACCCACTCTCTCTCTCTCCCCGCTCTCTCTCCCCGCTGTCTCTACCCGCTCTCTCTACTCGCTCTCTCTACCCGCTCTCTCTCTCTCCCCGCTCTCCCTACCCGCTCTCCCTACTCGCTCTCTCTACCCGCTCTCTCTACTCGCTCTCTCTACCCGCTCTCTCTACCCGCTCTCCCTACTCGCTCTCTCTACCCGCTCTCTCTACCCGCTCTCTCTACCCGCTCTCTCTCCTCGCTCTCTCTACCCGCTCTCCCTACCCGCTCTCCCTACCCGCTCTCTCTACCCACTCTCCCTACCCGCTCTCTCTACCCGCTCTCTCTACCCGCTCTCCCTACCCGCTCTCTCTACCCGCTCTCTCTACCCGCTCTCTCTACCCGCTCTCCGTACCCGCTCTCCCTACCCGCTCTCTCTACCCGCTCTCTCTACCCGCTCTCTCTACCCGCTCTCCCTACCCGCTCTCTCTACCCGCTGTCTCTACCCGCTCTCCCTACCCGCTCTCTCTACCCGCTCTCTCTACCCGCTCTCTCTACCCGCTCTCTCTACCCGCTCTCTCTCCTCGCTCTCTCTACCCGCTCTCCCTACCCGCTCTCCCTACCCGCTCTCCCTACCCGCTCTCTCTCTCTCTACCCGCTCTCTCTACCCGCTCTCCCTACCCGCTCTCTCTCTCTCTACCCGCTCTCTCCTCGCTCTCTCTACCCGCTCTCTCTACCCGCTCTCTACATTTTTGCACGCCTCCCTCTAATCTGTCTCCCTCTTATCTGCGTCTCCCTTACATCCGTCTCCCATTATTAAACTATTATAACTATTAAACTATTATAATTTTACCGGGTAAAGGCTCCCATTGAGCTGTATTGCTCTTTTGCAGAAGTGAGCCGGCTGCAAACGAAGTGGCTTATCGCGTGGAAACGTACAGCAGCCAAATCATGTTAAACGCGTGCTGATGTTGATTCTAAATATGGAGGCAAAAGCCGGAGGACGTGGAGAAAAATCCACGCGGCTATGGGGAGAACACGCAGACTCCAAATACACAGCAGCAGCAGGCGTGGGGGTTGGGATCGAACCCACGACCTCCTGCACGCCAGGCGAGGTAGTCAACATCTCCTAGCCACTGTGATGATGATGATGAGAGACGCAGATTCCAAATACACAGCAGCAGCAGCAGGCGTGGGGGTTGGGATCGAACCCACGACCTCCTGCACGCCAGGCGAGGTAGTCAACATCTAGCCACGCTGGCGCCCGATATTAGGGTGCCGCTGGGAGATGTTCGCTCCTCAGTCATCTGAAGATTGACCAACTCATTTCACCTCCGATGCGCACAGTCGGCAACGTACGGCGGTGCGAAAGAAGTTGAATGCACGCGCGGACACGCGCGGACACGTGCGGACACGTGCGGACACACTTAGGACACACTTAGGACACACTTAGGACACACTTAGGACACACTGAGGACACACTTAGGACACACTTAGGACACACTTAGGACACACTTAGGACACACTGAGGACACACTTAGGACACACTTAGGACACACTTAGGACACACTGAGGACACACTTAGGACACACGCGGACACACTTAGGACACACTTAGGACACACTTAGGACACACTTAGGACACACTGAGGACACACTTAGGACACACTTAGGACACGCGCGGACACGCGCGGACACGCGCGGACACACTTAGGACACACTTAGGACACACTGAGGACACACTTAGGACACACTGAGGACACACGCGGACACTGAGGCTAGCAGGCCGCCCCTGCCGGGCTTTCACGGGTTCCCACGACGGTGGCGTGCGTGCACGAGCTGGGGGGGCCTGCGACCTTTGCCTTTGAGCCGCGGCGACCTTCCTTGACCCCGCGACCCACCCCGCACAGTGATCGACATCAACCTGGAGAAGCCCAAGGAGCACGTGTCCACCGAGGGCGGCTGCGCGTGCTAGAGCCCCCCCCCCCCCCCCGCGGTGGCTTCTTCACGGCGTGCCGCCCGCCGCCTCGTCTGGGCGGGGGGCGGCTGGGGAGGCGGCGAGATGGAGGAGCCGCCCTCGCTGCCCCTGGAGCCGCCGTTGGGGCGTGACGGCTGGCACGGGGGTGGCCGCGGGCAGCCCTGGGGGTCGTGTAAATATAAAACTACTTGGGTGTGTGGGCGTTAGCACAATATCGGTTTGGGTGGACGCGCGCGGGCGGTGTGTGTGTACGCGCGTGTGTGCATGTGTGAGTGTGTGTATGTGCGTGTGTGTACGTGCGTGTGTGTACGTGTGTGTGCGTGTGTGTATGTACGTGTGTGTGTGTATGTACGTGTGTGTGTATGTACGTGCGTGTGTACGTGTGTGTGTACGCGCGTGTGTGCGTGCGTGTGTGTGCGCGCGTGTGTGTGTGTATGTACGTGTGTGTGTGTATGTACGTGCGTGTGTGTGTACGTGTGTGTGCGTGTGTACGCGCGTGTGTGTGCGCTCCTTGAGGGCTCTGGGTACTGCAGGAAGAATGATCAGGACGTTGAAGCCGTGCGCTCCAGCGTACGTGCGCTGGACTTCTTTCGCGCCACCGTACGTGGCCGACCATGCTAATCGGAGGTGCTGGTGGGGGGGGGGGGGAGGAGGTGAACGAAGTAACGGGGTCGCACGGTGGTGACGGCCGCTCGTACAAGCGACTCGCTCTTGTTCAGGGAGCCCCTCCCCCCGCCCCGCTCCATCGTAGAGAAGCGGAGACGTGAGCGCCAGCGCTGCCCAAGGTGTCGCAGACCGCCCCCACCCGTGATCCCCCACCCCTCCAACCTTTCTTTTTTTAACATTGTGGTGCATCATAGAGAAAGTTTCCCGTCACGTGACACTCTTGTGCTGTCCATTCTATTGTACAATGCAGACACGTGGACGTTGAAACAAGGCGGTCAGTGGAAGTTGAGGGTGTCTCTGCGTCGCGTTTGTTTGCACGCGGAGCATTGGGCGAATGTTTACATCGCGGGAGGGATCGCGTGAACACAAATGTTGTGTCGTCAAACCCGCCACCACCCAGCACAGCCAAATCCTAAAGGCTTGTCACGTAAACGAAACGTGCCACTCGGTTGCAGGTTGAGCACACCGGTGGTGTTGGAGAGTAAACCCACTACAACATTTACCATTTGAGTCCCGTGATGTTTCACCGGCAATTACAACAACCAGCCTCATCGGTCGACAGCCAGAGGAATCTTCCAAACAGAAATCCTGCGGTGTGCTCCGCTAGTTACGAATTGGCACGTTTTGTTTACGTGACGAACTTGACTCATTGGCTGTTTCGGGTGGTGGCGGGTTTGACGGCTTATTTGCATGATCTAAACCAAAAAACCTCGTGGATAATATTGGTCCGCAAAGCCTCGCTGCGTGTTAAACTGATCAGGGAGGGAACTGGGAATACATGGAACGTACAAGTCTGTTCCATAACGCTGCGTAGTTTTCACAACGCGAATTGGATATCACGCGATGACTATTAGGGAACACGTTTGTTTTAATTTAACGCCGATGCGAATTGGATCTGACGCGATCGAGTGAACGGAACTCGCACGCGAGTAGGAATAAGAGGTTGTACGGCTGCCTCAGCATAGCATGGCACAAGGCAGTGGGGATGCTGCTGGATGCTTCGACGTGCTACCCACGAACCTCGGTGTTTGTCCGGCCTGCATACGGATCTCACGCGTCATCGCGAACTCCGCTTTACCACCCTACATTCTAGATTATTTACCCTATGATACATTATCTATTGACGCCGTTTTTCCCATAACGCGGTGTTTCTTAAGGAACGCCACCGCGACTATCGCTTTGTAGGCGGGCAACAGGGCTGTGGTTGCAGATCCCAGGTTTATTTTGTTTGACCAGTTGAGAGCTCAAGAGACCAGGAGACTCTCACTGGCAGGAGTGAGCTCGCTCGCGAAACGAAAGAATACAACAGCAACGCACGGGAGAAGTTCGTCACTGGAGCAAAACGGAGGGAGAATGAATGGAACCCTCTCACAGCCGACGCACGCATGGCTGTTCACGTGAGCCAACGCGTGCGTGTGTGCGCGCGAGGGTGCTCACGCACACACACGCACACACGCGCGCGCTGCGTCTCCTGCTGCTGCAATGGCAACGTCTGGCAGAGTGAAATAGGGCAGCGGCTCTTGGCTGGCCGTCGGGCCAACGACGGTCGCTTGCTTCGCGTGCGCTTTTAGACGCACTTCCACAGCCGTCTGGAATGCGGCAAGGATGAGCGGTGGGTGCGGGGTTGCCGAGGAGAAGGAATCCGCCTGAGTAGCCCGCGATAACGCGCCACTCTTTGATTCTGTCGAAAAAAGTCACTTGCAGCGTCTCGCCTATCGCCGTCCTTAAGGGCAACGTGGACCGTCATCCGTGACTCCCAGGAACAGGTCTGCAAGTTTGCTGAGCTTTTCTGAGGTCTTGGGGCAGGGGAATTCCGTCAGCCCCGACAACATCATGGGGCAAGGTGAGGATGACCCTACTGGAGCTGCCGTGCCTCAAATGTTGGCAAAAGTAGCCCCCCCTCTCCCTCACCCGCTGTGAGTGGCCGGCTGAGGTGCCACAAGTTGAGGAAATATGAATGACGATCCGGAGTTAGAGACCAGGAAAAGCCCCGGGCAGAGCTGATCTCTGAGTGAAATTCTGAGGGATGGTGGCGTCTGTGTGCAGGCTGCCTTGCATAACATCACTACTATCTGGGCCACAGGATGGGTTCCGCAGGATTAGTAGGATGCCCTGGTGGTCCCCCTCAGTGTGCCGGGAAAGGTCCTGGCAAGGCTTATTCCACATCGCCTTGGCAGGCACACCGAGGAGAGGCTTGCGGAGCCCCAATGCCGGTCCTGCACGGATGCCATATTCTCTGTCCGTCTGCTCAGCAGAGGTGTGCAGAAATCCAACAGGACCTACATCTCTGCTTTATTGACCTGGTCAAGGCCTATGATACCATCAGTAGGCTTGCTCTCGGAGTCCCTGATTCTGCTCACAATCATTAATGCCCTTCATGATGGTTGGCAGGCCCGGGAAAGCTGCATGGCCGGGAGTCGGAGCCATTCCCTCTTCACCTTGTGGTGTGACATGTCCTCTGGCTCCCACATTATTTGACATCACCTTCGACCACCAAGTTCGAAAATCTTTCCACGGCTTTACCGGAGGAATTTCCATCTCTTGACCGTACCTGGTCAAGGGATCGAAAATGAGATGGCTCCCTATTCAACCATCGAAAATGGGATGGCTCCCTTTAAGACTCCTGGGTACAGTGGGGGAAAACGTATTTGATCCCCTGCTGATTTTGTATGTTTGCCCACTGACAAAGAAATGATCAGTCTATAATTTTAATGGTAGGTTTATTTGAACAGTGAGAGACAGAATAACAACAAAATCCAGAAAAACACATGTCAAAATGTTATAAATTGATTTGCATTTTAGTGAGGGAAATAAGTATTTGACCCATCTGCAAAACATGACTTAGTACTTGGTGGCAAAACCCTTGTTGGCAATCACAGAGGTCAGACGTTTCTTGTAGTTGGCCACCAGGTTTGACTGGCTAGGCCACTCCAGGACCTTAATGTGCTTCTTCTTGAGCCACTCCTTTGTTGCCTTGGCCGTGTGTTTTGGGTCATTGTCAAGCTGGAATACCCATCCACGACCCATTTTCAATGCCCTGGCTGAGGGAAGGAGGTTCTCACCCAAGATTTGACGGTACATGGCCCCTTCCATCGTCCCTTTGATGCGGTGAAGTTGTCCTGTCCCCTTAGCAGAAAAACACCCCCAAAGCATAATGTTTCCACCTCCATGTTTGACGGTGGGGATGGTGTTCTTGGGGTCATAGACAGCATTCCTCCTCCAAACACGGCGAGTTGAGTTTATGCCAAAGAGCTCCATTTTCACCCAGTTGTCTTCTGAATCATTCAGATGTTCATTGGCAAACTTCAGACGGGCATGTATATGTGCTTTCTTGAACAGGGGGACCTTGCGGGCGCTGCAGGATTTCAGTCCTTCACGGCGTAGTGTGTTACCAATTGTTTTCTTGGTTACTATGGTCCCAGCTGCCTTAAGATCATTGACAAGATCCTCCCGTGTAGTTCTGGGCTGATTCCTCACCGTTCTCATGATCATTGCAACTTCACGAGGTGAGATCTTGCATGGAGCCCCAGGCCGAGGGAGATTGACAGTTCGTTTGTGTTTCTTCCATTTGCGAATAATCGCGCCAACTGTTGTCACCTTCTCACCAAGCTGCTTGGCAATGGTCTTGTAGCCCATTCCAGCCTTGTGTAGGTCTACAATCTTGTCCCTGACATCCTTGGAGAGCTCTTTGGTCTCGGCCATGGTGGAGAGTTTGGAATCTGATTGCTTCTGTGGACAGGTGTCCTTTATACAGGTAATCACCTGAGATTAGGAGCACTCCCTTTAAGAGTGTGCTCCTAATCTCAGCTCGTTACCTGTATAAAAGACACCTGGGAGCCAGAAATTTTTCTGATTAAGAGGGGGTCAAATACTTATTTCCATAATTAAAATGCAAATCAATTTATAACATTTTTGACATGCGTTTTTCTGGATTTTTGTTATTCTGTTCAAATAAACCTACCATTAAAATTATAGACTGATCATTTCATTGTCAGTGGGCAAACGTACAAAATCAGCTGCTCACTCAGAGAAGACATTTAAGGCACTGCTGCTGAACCTGGAGCGTGTCACTAAGAGGTGGGGTCTTACCATCAGCTCCACAAAAACTAAGCACACCTGCTTGGGTGTTTTGTGCCATCAAACACTCCACCCCCTCAACTCCCCATTGGTGATGGGGCAGTTGTGGAGAGAGTGGAGAGTTTTCCATACCTGGGCAGTTTGCTTATGACCAGCTCTGGTTTTACAGCAGATGTCTTACTGCAAATCAGTCGGGCGACATTTGGATCGGCTGCATAATGCTGTGTGGAAGCTGCCTGGTCTGTTGCTCCACACGAAGCTTCGGGTATTCTCAGCAAAAGTTATGCCCTTCCTTTGCGAAATAAATGTGGACCCCCCCCCCTATGGAACATCTATGCCGGTTAGAAACATTCTCGCTGGCCTGCCTGCGATCCATCCTGGGTTTAACCAGGCTGGATTCTATGAGGAGCTCACAATTTCTTGAAAGATCTGGGACACATTACCATCAGTGAGCTCCTCCGGCAGGCAAGGCTACGTTTGCTGGGTTATGTAGCCCACATGCCCAGTCACCGCTGAAGCAGGGAGGATGTGAAGCGGAGTGGACTTGCCGGAGCTCAGTACCAGCGGAGCTCAGTACCAGCGGTGGTCAAGATTGGCCTTTTAGGAGGAGG